TTTCTCCAATGGAAAGTGTCTTTATTTGTGGCGGTAAATTTGAGATCAAAGTAGGTGGTTCGCACGTTACCTCATGCCACCATGCTGGTGGAAATAAACAATAGATATCTCATTAGCTCATTTTGTTCGTCTACTAGCATTTAAATTTGACCCGCACACGTCAACGGTGAGTGACAAATGAGCCTAGGTCTTTCCAGGGAAGACTTCCTTATTTCGCGCGCCTTCGTGTTTAACACTTCCATTTTATTTTAGCGCTTGTATTTACATATTTTATCCTTAGACATTCTCACGCCCTAATTTTTACATATAGATACGTATTTCATTCGCTTTTATTACAGCTTGAAAATGATCTCGGAGAGATCGAAACGTGTTTTTTGTTTTTTTTTCTTCGCTAGTTTTTATTCTGGAATCCATTTTCCGTGTTGGTTTTATTGATTCACCAAAGCACAGAAACTGTGAATTATTTTCTGCTACCTTAACAAATTACGCTAACCCACCATCAAATGACTTTGCTTTATAATGAAGTACACCAAAGAAATCTAGCTGTAAGATGATTAATTCAAAGATGTTCACTAAGAACGAATTTATGAAAGAGATATAAAGCTTGATTTCCGAAAAATTTTACCGAAGCTGTTTTTCAGAGAATAATTTTCAAAATTTTGTCAAATGAGTAATTTTCAGCTTTTCATTTTAGAAAAAAACACCGCCCAACCATTTTTTTCATATTGTTGTTTGTATTTACGTTTGCATATTCACCGACTCTCGCGAATTCCCACGCATTAGGATTTACACTTTTATTTACTAGCTCCTCTATCTGTCCATGGTCCCATCAGGGCTTGCTGCAATATTATGATTCTGTTATTTTTTTGGCCTTCTCGTCGAAAATTTGAACAAGAGAACAGTATTTGAACAGGCACTCTGCGTGTGACCAGCGATATATTTAAGAAAACAGAAACTAAATTTATGTAATTATTGCATAAAAATTCCTTCGTGATCTCGAGGAATTGCTGGCGAGCACACAGATTAAATCTGTAAGTTGTTGTTGACTAAAATCAAAACGAAATGATTTCGCTCACAACAAGCCGACGAAAAGCCAGTGATCGTTCTGAATTTATCGTTAAATCCCGGTTATGTTCACCCTCATTTGTACAGTCACACAGCAGTTATGATTTATATTATAAATTTCACTCATCAAAAATAAATACGTGTTTCTGCGACAAACCAACACTGTACCATCATCGCTTGAGAAAGAAAGATATCAATTCTACTGCATTTCTTGATTCTTGGGTTATTTTCGTATTTTTTCAGACTGACTGGTGAATATCCCTGATGCTTCAAGCACGAATCAAACAAGAAGGACATGATCCAAGTGAAAGACGAGATTTATTCAGAGGTACAAAACAGGTGTAGCGCACTTTTTTTGCAACAAACTTTCGAATCAGAACTGAGATTGAAAACGCTAAAAATGCTGTGATTTTTGTCAGTTTAATTCATGTTGAGGGCTGTTTTAGGAGGAAAAAGTTCCCGCCAAAAGACTTAGAAAAATACGGCACCCAAAATACGCACGCGTCAATTTTTTTTTTTTTTATTACATTTTCTAATATAGCCTACATTGCTAATAAACTGAACATGTATTTGCTTGTTGTATTATTATTATCATGAATAAAAGAACAGTGATGAGAATTTGTGTCATCTTTTATTGTCCTAGCTTACAATATGTACTCAATAAACTAGAAACGTTTCATAATCGAACAAAGTGTTTTGTATTCTCTTTAATCACAAGTTAATTAATAGAAAAGGTGTTTAGAAGTATGTTTCGTATATATACTAAGACTTTTGGCGGGAAAATGTGGACCAATTTGCACAGAGGTTCCCCTGGCAACATTTTGGGCAAAAATTTTAAAAAGGCCTCCTTCGAAAGTTCCCGCCGCAAAATAATTAGAAAGCATCTCGTGCAAAATAACTAATGAGTAAACCCAGATTATCCTCTCTTAGAGAAAATCGAAGCAGTCCAAACAATTTTGTTTCCTTTAAAAGAAATCCTGATTCGAAAGTCTATCTCCCAAACGTTTTTGTACTTCAATTGTTTGCACGAGATGTGTTGAAGTTTTTAACGAAAGAGCATCTTGGCAAACTATAGAGCATTCAATCAGAAATATGCAATCTCCAAAATTGTGTTCAATTTCTTTTAAATTTAAAGTTCATTTTGAAACCCAATCAATTTTTGATTGAGCCCAAAGCTTCCCATTATGTCTTTTTCGGAGTAAAAGATCTTTACAGCCGCCATTTTCGAATGTAACACAGGACACAGGATGCAAAAACACCGAAAACACTTTATCCAAGACACAGAACTAGGATTTACAGACAGAAAGCCTCTTATTTTTCACCTAATTAAAATGAAAAAAAAAAAAAACACTGAAATATTGAGGAATACTATCTGACTTCGACAAAATTCAATTAAGCCGCAAAAGCTAATATATTTCATTATCACGGTCCAAATTTACTTTAAATTCGAGAAGAAATTTGACAAATTAGTATCAATAGAAAGAAGCTGGAGCGAACTCTTTCAATTTGATTTTGGCCTTCAAAGTTAAGACAAAAACAATTAGGCTCCAAGTTCCTTAAACTAGATTCGAGAGGCAGTTTGGGAAATAAATTGAAATAAAGTGTTGGAGCAAATTCTTTGAGTTCGATTTTAGCCTCTTAGGCTCAAAGACGTTTCACAATTTGGCTTGAAGTAATAACATAATATTAAAAATAATAATTCTTGCATCGAATTGTTTCAAGGAGATTTATTCGTCAACGGCGTCCAGTTTCTGTTTTATTATAGACTGAATTCAATGCATGAAGATCAAAATTTTAAACTTTTGCTTATCTTTCTTTCTGTGTTCCTGTGTTACACCTAGTGACCGCACAAAAGATCTCCTTACCACTTACAATAAGGAGTAAATAATAACTAAAATATATTTTAAAACCAAATGCCTGGTCCAAAGGCATTTGGGTCAAATGCCTGGATAGAGCGCTGGACTGTTGTGCGGGAGGTCGAGGGTTCGAGCCCCGGCCGGACCAACACTCAGGGTCTTAAAATAATTGAGAAGAATTTGCTGCCTTTCTATAACATCAAGAAATGGTTAGATATTCTAGTCTTCTCGGATAGGGACGAATAAATGGAGGTCCCGTCTCCTGCAGGGTTGGGGTAGGAGACGTTAATTTCCCACACACGAGATTACTGTGTGATGGATGTCCTCCCCTGGGGTGGGATGGGTGGGANCCGTTTAGATCTCAGAAGGAGCTTAAGGCGATATTTTCCAAAGCAATGCCCACCTGCTGTTGTAGTCAATAACGGTGTTTCCATTGCTACAGGTCCAAAGTCTTCCTTCCAGAACGCAGTGATGTTTGGCACAACGGACTGCACGTCTTCACTCTACGAGGAAAAGCGTGGTTTGCTTAAAATTCTACAAGTTGCGATGAATATGGATAAACAACTGTAGCCAATAATCGCCTGCTACGTCACAGATTTGGGACAGTTCTGTTTGCACGCATTTCCAGCTAATCAAGAATCAAGCACAGTGAACGGATTGGCTGTGACAAAAAGAAAAAATTATCAGCTGCTAGATTGTAGTAACTATTTTGTGACAAGGAAAACTAATCTGACTTTCGAGAAGAGCTAATTTAAAAGACAGATATCATCATTACAAGCAGTAGATCTGGGTAAGAAATAACGAATCTCTTTCAGGCCTCGTTTTGAATTGCGTGAGTAAATAAATAATTGTTTGTTATCCTCGCAGGAAGTAAAGGACAAAATGGTGAAAAATTTAACAGATTGTTACCCTCTCGATCGTGAAGGAAAACAGAGAATACAAGGAGAACGGCAACTTGGGCACTGAGTTACTTCTCATTGACTTTAATGATTTCTTTACTTATTATCCTTTTTACAAGCGGGCAACGAAGGAAGGAAGTTTTTTTTCATTAAGGAACGAAGTTTTTTTTATTAAGCCGTTCCTTGATTGTCGAAGTAAATATTACTAGCTTTCAAACGTGTTATCTTTTTATGGCAACAGGATTAACGCTGAATTTAATTTGGGAGTACAAAATACATATATTGTTTGTGGCATATGGTTAAAACAGTGAATTAACTGAGGCAGCGAACTCGGCATGTTGGTAGCGAACATGTAGCGAACTTGAACGTAGCGAATTAGACAAGTAGCGAAACCGGCGCAAACCGACCGACAGCATCGTGCATCGAGTGTAAATGTTTCCTTTCAAGTTAGAAATTGTACTCAATTCCCGGGTTTATACACGCGCATGCGATAAACACCGAACTAATTTAGGATCTTTTCTTTCTTTATACCTTTCCTATTCTTTGAGGCGTTCTTATATCGAAGCGGTCAACTGCGGATATTACGTGAAGAAAGTACCTAATACAATAACAGCTTTATAATTAAGCATAATATCAATTTGGTCGACGAGCACGTGGCAATTAAAAGAATCAAGTAAAGTAAAAACTAGCGATAGGTTTTGCTTTGAATCACAACTGCGAGTTAACATAATCACAAAATAGATTGTTGCTTACCAACGTTCACGGGTCTTGACTACTTTATCGAGGATTACAGTCTAACTAGTCCTCTAGTTTAGAAATGACCTTGATTACACGAGGTCTTATCCAGAACTGAAACCGCCGCTAACTATAATTTTTCCTTAAAAAATTAACTAACCATGGAGGCTATCAAACTATAAAATATTTCGCAGCTTCTTTCGGAAGCGGTAACATTTTGCTTGAACGCAAGCGGTTACATCGAGCTGCAATAGTCCTAAGAATTAGGACTGATGGTTGGTAAAAATGAAGTAAAATAAACTTTAAAGGTCGAGGAGAAAGACTGGGTTCATTTGTTGTGTCGCGAGTTTTCTGAGTCACCATGAGTTATGAGTATAAGTTATTACGGGGTCCGTAAGTGGCACGCGTCCTGCATTTTGTGAGGCAACTACGATACGCGTCCTATGTGTGAATAGAATAAGACAGAGATAAGGTGAGGTCAAAACTTACTATATTTCTTCTTTGGAAGGTTGTTCGAAGTTCTTAGTTAGCCCTTGAAAGAGCAATGTGCCGCCCTAACCCATGTCATAAGATAAATTCATTCGCCGAGTGGAACAGGCGCCTTTTGTTTTTAGTTCTTCACTGAGGTGAGCACAGGAAAGCGCAAGAGGCGAGGCTTGCGCGAATTGAGGAGGAGCGCGAATTGAATCATCCGATCACCTAATGTGGTTTCCTGGAAAAACCGGATCAAGGATCTCCAGTACTGTAAAAATGTATCAAGTGTTACGTGCACGAATGACCAACAAATGTCCGCTAACAAAGCATATATGAAAATAGACTCCCGAGTACGATNTGCTTCTTTATTAAACATATTTCATACCAAACTAGTTTAATCCATTGATCAGGAGTGTGACAAGTCTCATGGCTTACAGTGACACGAACTCAACCGGGGCCACCCAACGTTTTTTAGCCAATCACAAGACGAGTTTAGAACAAAAAAATTGAAGTTCGTTCATCAGCGGATCAATCACTATAAGGGTCAAATTTCACTGTTCGTTTGACTAGATCAGATGTGAAGGTATGCGAAAGCTTATAGTTTTTTTAAAGCAAAAAAAATATAATATTTTTCATTTCTATTACGGTAAAGGTGAATAAATATTTACCGAATGGCGGCCGGTAATTTCGAAGACTAAACTGACTAAAGTTAAATTTACCAAATTGCGGCCGACTCACTTTATACAATATATTTTCCGAAACACGGCCTGGAATGCCGAAGGCGAGAGCTTATGTAATTTACTGAATATTGCGGCCGCGAATTTTGAACACGAAACGGGCTCGATCAATGTAAATAAATATATCAAATTACGGCCGGCTAAACCTCAAGGCGAAACCGGCTCAACACAAGTATATTTTTAAAATATCATTGAAAAACGGCCGTATCTACAATTTTACCGGGAATTTTAGTAACCAATCACAAGGACAAAGAAAATTTCAAATTTAGTTTTTGCATGTATTACCGGTGGTTGATTCCGTTTGCGTTGTAGTTTGAAAGTCGGGAAGTATTTCAAACATTTACTGATTTGAGGTAAAACCGTTTCGTCTTCAAAATCTCAGGCCGTGTCAATTCCGCAAATACATTTGTATTGAGTCCGTTTGGTCTTCAATATTCCCAGCCGCATTATTCCGTAAATTATATAAGCTTTCATCCTCGACATTCCAGACCGTGTTTCGAAATATATATTTTATAAGTTAACTCGTTCGTAATTTAGTAAATTTCTTTAAGTCTGAGTCCTTTCAGTCTTCAAACTTCCCGGCCCCAAAATTCGGTAAGTTATACAAGCTTTCTTCTTCAAAACTCCATACCCTATTTCGAAAAATTTTTGTTATAAAAGTTTACTCAGCCGTAATTTGGTAAATTTACGTTGAGTTCGTTCAGTCTTCAAAATTCCCGGCAGCAATACTCGGTAAATTATACAAGTTCTTGTCTCCGACATTCCAGACCGTGTTTCGAAAAATAAATTTCATTGGTTTACCCAGCATTATTCGTTACTTACGTACGTTGAGGCTGTTCAGTCTTCAAAATTACCGGCCGCTATTAGGTAAATTTTTATTCGCTTTTACCGTAAACGAAATAAACAACATATTTATTTCACCGTAAAAAAACTAGAAGCTTTCGCATGTCTTCACATCGACTCCAGTCAAACGAGCAGTTTAATTTGACCGCTGGTGAACGAACTCCCATTCTTTTGTTCCGTACTTGTCTTGTAATTGGCTAAAAAAACGTTGGGTGGCCCCGGTTGAGTTCGTTTCACTGTAAAAATAACGAATATGATACCAATAGGATAGGGATATTATGTTTAAATATGGTTAAAGAATTGAAAGCTAAAAGTAACGACAGCACTCGCCCTGAGGGGTACTCCGTAATCACCCACTCCACGGGGCCGCGACATTCCCACGCGCTTGCCACTTCCAGGCAAGGATACTCCATCCCTCGCTTCCAGCGACGTGCTGCCGAGCTGCGCCAGTGGTGCACCAATACCGACGCAGCCGCTTCGAAGAAGGGGCTGTGAAGGTATTTATTCGCCACAAAAGCAATTTTCTCTAACTTGTGGTAGAATAACCCAAATAAAGATAAGATCAATTTCAACAAAGGTAGTCGAAATGGTTGGTCAGGATACAACAAAGATTTTTATACGATATTTTAAAAAAGGAAACCCTTCGTGTAATTGTAGAATTTCATATTAGTTTTAAAATTGCAATTTTTTTACGCATGCGTGACTCAGTCGAAGAAAATCGACGAATTGCAAAAGTAACCTCAGGAAGCTGTCATTTCAGGGTAAAAAAACGACCACCACCTTGGAATCCCCATTAATCTACATAGGAAGAGTATCCGCCATCTTGTATATTCCATTTAATCTTAATTCACAAATGCCACACTACCCTGGCTCCAGAGGTTTCTCTTTTTCTTTCCTTTTTCTCCCTGTTTTTTCGCCGAGCAGCTCCGAGAAAAAGAGACGCTGCTACGCAGCTCGGCCAATCTCGCTACTTCGCAGCCCGAAAGGATTGTAAACAGGGAGAAAAAGAGAAACCTCTGGAGCCAGGGTAATGCCACACTGACATTCGCGCAAATAGGCAACAAACTCCGCGCGAGTCCCTCACCTCCTCTGGAAATGAGGAGCTGCCAATAATAACGTACTAAATCTCTGCTAAAGCCATTGGGAAGGAAGAAGGGGTCAATTTTAGCTTTGACTGATGCGCAGAAATAAAATGCGCAAAATTAAACCTTTGTGTGAGTGTTTTATTTTGCATCAGTATAAACTTTTCGATGACCGCTCGCCTCTTTACAACTTTGGCGGTTACCCTCTCCGGCATGGTCTCCTATTCATCGGCACAGTGCTCGAAAACACCACTGACCATAAAGTCGCATTATCACCTAAGTTGTAAAAATTGGCCATCGTAAAGAGTTTTTAAGAATAATGCATT